AGCGTAGGTTGTATGAGAAGTCGATATTCAGCAAATGTATTACAGCGCTGCATGTATGATAATTACACACACACACACCACTGTTTTCTCTGATTAACATAGCAACATACGGGAATAAAACAAAAAAAAAAAATGAAGAATTTTAGGGGGAGATAACCGAGAAAAAACAAATTAAAAAAAAAATACCAGGGAAAATTCTGAAAACTTTGGGTGATAATTAAAGCAGGAAATTTATTTATCCCTGGAGGCGGGGGAAATTCTACGTTGAAAAATTACTCGGGAAAAATTAAAGCTAGAAATTTACACAAGGGAGATAGAACAGTGACGTGGGAGATTTAATATGGACGATGTATGTTACTTAGAAGAACACGAGGAAAATATGCTGGGGGAATTTTCACGAGAGAAAGTTAAGGTGGACTTGCGGTTATTCCCCGTAGACTCGGCCGCTGCTGCTGTGAGGAAGATCCGCCATGTGACTGTTTATTATTATTATTTTTTTTTCGTTTCTCCCTTCCTGGTTGGGTAAAGGTCACCTCCCTTCCTCGTCACATCCGCCAAGGCTAGTATAGAACAACAACTATCACAGAATAAATGGTGGGAGATAAGCTCACTACACGTATACCTACAGTACATCTGTAAAAAATATATTTATATAGGCTGTTTTTAGTCTCATGTATTTTCTGGGGGATCCAATGACCATAGCATTGTTAGCTCAAATATTTATTTATGTGTAGAACACAATTGTAATAATAAAACAGGAACACTGCCAGTTTTGTCAAATGAAATTGTCAAAAAGAGCTAGAATCATTCCTAAGAGATGCTAAACCTGAATATAAAGCTCAAAGGTGCTAAAATATTAGTTTTATGGTTTACCAGACACAAAATGATATACTTTAATGTATTGCATTGTACTCGCCGATATAATGACTTGTAGATCAGCTGATCCCCAGTCACTTATATGGCCTTGTTGATGTATGACGGTCAGTCTGGGCCCTGTGAGGATACGCATCCAATGTGCCTAGTTTGTGCAACACATCCTTTGGCATTTGTAATCATGACAGCAATTGACTGAATAAATTGAACAGGGTCATTCAACAACTTTGTTGGATCCTGCATTTCCGCTTCAAATTTGTTATTGACTCGCTGCACGTTACTTCTCCAAGAATGTTTTAGAAACGGGTATTCTTGTCACGAAACATTGAATACAGTTATTCATCTGTGTAACAATGTTCATTTTGCTTTACAAGTTCAATCATTTTGAGTTCAACCCACTGCTTCAATATTCACACAAAGGCTGATTCAGTGGACTTTTTCATAACTTTGCATGATGTATTGCATCACCATTACATCACTCAATTCGGTTAAATCTAAGACAGTAACCACAATCTTTTAACTTTTAACAACATACTTACGGAAATGACATCGCTCTCATCAATCAGCTGAATTTACTATTTTCTGTATCAGTTTGTAAGTCATTGGCAAGCACTTTACAAACTACTGCACTACACTTTGGTCTCCTATGCTTGAGTTTACATCCTTTGCTATCGGGAAAACGTGCGTTGCGAAGTTCACTCAAATGATCCACAGCACAATGTTCCATCATGAGAATTACCACACAGTACTGAACTCCCCCTCCCCCGTTTCTCTAACATCGTCACTTACTTTTTCAAACTGCAACTTGCTTTGTCGTTAAGAGCTGAATGGCTGTCCAGCTTTCTTGTGTTTATCTACATTTCTGACTTTCTATCTAACTCAATTTGGCCGCCAGTAAACACTTACAGTGTTTATTGGAGCACTCCATATCATCTTCCTCTTAAATCCCGTGCCACCGAGTGTGCTCTAAAATGTGTACATTTCTTACTCCACGTGATCACAGTCAAAGGTCAGGGAACTTTTGTGACGATAAATAGTTGTAAGCCGACACAACACCAGAGAAAGAATACGCAATAAGGTATTGGCTGGGTAGTGGGCACCCTACGTGCCCGACGGTAGCGTCTCTTAAATAAATCGTAACTCTCCCTATAGTTAAGATTATGAAGGCGGGAATCATCGTGTTACATTATCATTGGTTAACTTAAATATAATTTCATAAATATACTTATTAAATTTAAATATGTCAAATGACTAAAAAAGTTTTTAGGCGACTAAATGAATTTGGCGCTAAATTTTGAAAATCACTTAAATAACGTCATGACGCTAAATGAACTAAGTAGCATTAAACGTAGCCAAATCATTCACCAAAAGCACTAAGTTGACATTACATGGACGTTTACACAATGGACAAAACGATTAAATCTGTTTTAATTGCTACGTATAAAATTATTTTGAAAGTTAATAGTATTTAGGAAGAAAAACTGACGGTATGGTAGTTTTTATGAATGATTATGTAAATGGAAATTACTTTGATTACTGAATAAAGTATCGTCTTCCATTTAAATGGTTTCATTATTTGAGTGCATTAATCCAAGATCTGTCACTGTTTTATTACCTATTTAATGAT